CCGGCCGTCCGCCTCCCCCGTGCGCCCTGCGCCCGGCCGCGGGGCTGCGAGGAGCAAGCCTGGAGCCGGCCCCGGCCCCGGGGGAAGCGCCTGCCTGCCTCTGCCGGCGCCCGGCCGAGGGAGAGCGCCCGGCAGCGGCTGCCCCCAGCCCAGGGGCGAGGGCGTCCATTTTGTGGGGTGCTCCCCGAGGGTTCCCTCCCCCGGCTTGTAAAACTGGGGAAGCTCTTGTGCGGCCGGAGCTTGGGTGGTTCGCCGCCAGGCTTTGCCGTGCGCGAGGACTCTGCGAGGCCTGTGCCCGTCCCCGGGGTGACGTCCCCTTCTCAGCTCTCCCCGCTGTGGTCTGCTCTCCCTCGCTCCTTGACGTCTCCTTTCTGGAGGCCAGCGTCTATCTCCGGCCGCAGAGCCACCTGGAAGCACCCTGCTTCCACCGGCTGCCAGCCCGGGGCCATCCCAGGAGGAAGCAAACTGCCACCCCGGAAAGGCAGCGCCGGGGGTGGGCGTCCGACGGAGCTCAGTGCCTCCCGCTCTGGCCGGTCACTCCCAGATAACTGGGGTGCTCCAGCCGGTCTTGCCAAGGGCTGGCTGACGCAGGAGGGAGTGCAGCAAGGTCTGAACACCCCCTGGGAAGCAGCTGGGATGCAGAGCGTTCCCTGGCTCCTGTTGCTTATCCTGGGCTCCTTTCCTCGTGGGGGTGACCGTGGTTGTGCTGACGCAGCCCGAGCAGGGACAGCGCTTTCCTGGCCCGCAGCCACTAACAGGCAGCAGAGCTCTGGCCGGCTCTGTGCCTGACTCCTCTTGACCTGTCCTGCAGGCAGCAAGCATAGCGGGCTGGAAAGCGGCTTCATTTTGATGGCTCTTCCTTCGTGCTTCTAGAGCAGCCTCCAGCCAGGGCTGCTGGCGTCATGCTGTGCTGCTGGTGCTGCGTGTGCTGACGTTCTCCACTCAGCCCATTTGCACGGGAAATCCCCCAGTGTACTCATGGCGTAGCTACAGCTCACCAGCCCTGCTTAGGTCTGCTGGGATCAGCTGTGCCGGCACTGCAGCTGCTGGCGCTCTCCCTCCTGGAGGCAGCACCCGAGCTGTTCGGTATGGTGACCTGCTCCACTACCAGCTGCCCTTCTCTGCCGAGGTCCGTGCTCTCTGCTCCCGCCCCGGGTGCAGGAACCGTCCCTGTCCTGGAGCTGGGCTGCGCAACAGGAGGCTGCATTCGCTCCTGCGTGGCACCCTTAGCATGCCGGCTTTACACCACTCCCTCCTGCAATCCCCACCTAACCCTCATCCCCAGTGCTGTTTTCTCCCAATAACACACACACCCGCTGCTTGTTTAGATCGGAGTGTTATTTCTCTGTATGCCATCATTAAATGCTTGTCTGGACAGGACCCTTGTCAGTAGGATGGAGGGAGCTGGGATCCCAAGGGATGGCTTTCTGGGAATGGTGGGGCTGTGGGATGCTGAGCATTTCGGGGGAGTGAAGCAGGGAGTGTTAGCAGCAAAGCCTGAAGAGTTAATTTCGGGAGCCTACAATACCCCTTTCCTTCTCCCTTGGCTGCCAGGAGAACCTGCGGAGGGAGAGGAGGGGAAAACCTTCTCTCCCCTGCTGCAGGGCAGCAGTCCAGGATGGGGTGTACTGAGCGCCAGCAGCTTTCCTTCCTCCGGCTTGGCAGGTCCATACAGAGGAGGCTGGGAGCAGGGCAAAGCTGGCTGCTAGCTTCTTGCCTCCTGCTCTTTGGGACTGTCCTCCTGCAGGTCCTCCTCATCCGACTGCACCACTGGGGTCTCGGCCCCCTCCTCGCTGGTGTCCAGGCTGTTCAGATCCGTGGAGACGGAGGACGTGGAGGAAATGCGTGACTTGCTCTCAGCTGCATTGGGCGCTTGCAGGGTGATTTCTTCTGGGCACTGGCCGGCATCTGCCCCTGGAGAAGAGAGCAGTAAGAGAAAGAAAAAGGCTTCTGGAGGTTTATTGCTCCCTAAGCTTCATGGCTAGCCCCTCCAACACACGTGTCTTATTCCTCAGCAGGCTATGCTTTCCTGGCTGCTCCCCACGCGGCTGCCGTGGCTGTTCCCCACCTCACACCCCCGGCTTGGCTCTGGGCAATGCCGCACATTCCTTCCCCGTTTTTGGCAGTGGAGCCTCTTCTCTCTCATGTGAAGCGCGGCTTGGAGCCATGCTGCGCGAGGCCGTCGGCTGCAGCAGGCGAGGAGGTGTTTGCCTTGGCCTCGGTGAATCGCCGCAGCACGCGTGCGCGGGGAGGAAGGCGCTGGCACCCCAGGCTTTGCCTGCGGGACCCAAGCCCAGCTCCCTGGGGTCTGGCTGGGAGGTGGAGGGGTCCTGCAGCCTTCCTGCTCAGCACAGTGAGCTCTGCAGCGCGGTGGGGACCTGAGAAATCATGACAAGACACTGGCTGCTCCAGAGGGGCTTCAGCACAAGAGAATTTTCCCCACAGTCTCTGGAAAATGCCTGGGCTCTCCTGTCTTCTGCAGTGCGTATATACAAGGGTCTCTACCTCTGGGCCGTGGAGGTGGATACTGGCATGGTCCCTCCAACCTCAGAGACCCCAGCATCAAGTGTCTGTCTTTGTACGGGGGTGTGTGGATCTGCACGCAGGGTGGCCAGGGCTGAGGAACAAGGCAGTGTGGGCACTGGGGGTGGGAAGGGCTCCCAGCCTGGCCCGCAAAAGCCTTGGACTGCACATACCTGGCAGGGGCCCAGCAACGCTGCTCTCCTCTGTCCCACAGCCCAGAAACACGTCCACAGTGTCCTGGTCTGACAGGTCCATCATGTCCATCTGCTCCAGCATGTCCACATTCACCTCCATGGAGGAAATGCTGCCTAAGGGGGCTGCAGAGACAGAGGCCAGCGGAAAGGTGAGTGCTAGTGCCAGGCAAAGGGCACTGTGAGCCCTGTGCAGGCAGGACCCCGAGGAAGAGGCCAGCCTTGCTGTGGAGAATTGAATTCCACTTGCTGGTAAGAGTCCCCCAGGAAAACTGTGTTTCCTTAACACATGCCTCTGGAAGCCCCTGCTGCCTGACTGCAGTCCTTGTTCCTGCTCCAAACTGCTGTCTGGAGGAGCCTGTCTGAAGCCAGTGACTACGCAGGGCGCCAGCCTGGGTACCCATGTGCAGTGACTTCAGTTGAGTGGTGTGAGTAATCCACAGCACACCCACAGGCGGCGTGTGTGGTCCTGTCTCAGCGCAGGACATGCCTGTCCCCAGCTGCCTTTAGACTGGGGATGTCCCACTGATCTCTAACACCCGTGTTGTCGTTCCCTGAAACACCTCCAGCCCCGTGCCGGTGCCTGCAGCACTTACGTCTCCGATGCTCTATCTGCAGGTGAGACATAGGGAAGAAGAAATCCACGTCATGCTGGAAAACCTCCTCAAAGAACTTCTGCCGGTCCCGTAGTTTCAGCTGTTGCTGCTGCATCTGCTCTGCATCCAGGCTCCGCTGCGCCTGCTCCATGTCGGCTGGGGAGAAAGGTGAGGAGGGTCGGACGAGGCAGGGCTGTCCCAGCCCTTCTGCCTGTCCCAGCTCACGCGGTACGGCCGTGCTTTACAAGTGCACATTGATTTAGTCATTGCGAATAGATGTTACATGCTGGAACGACAACGACACCAGCACTTGTGCTGGAGCCTCAGATCTCACTTCTGAGACGCAGGGCAGCCAGGAGTTGGGAGCTCACATGCTATGTTCGCGGCTGCTAAAGTGAATTATCAAGTGGGAAAGGGTGTTGTTATGAGATCAGCCATGGTTCGCACATGTTCCAGTTTCAGTTTCCTTGCTACAAAACAGAGGGTTGTCTGTGAATGCTAACAAGCAGGGGAGACTCCCAGGGACAAGAACTGGCGTTAGTGCTCCAGGCTTTCTGGGCTGAGTGATGCATAAGGAATAAAAGGCATCAGCAACCCTGTCACCCCTGCACACGTGTGCGTCCCTGCCACCACCGTCGCTATAAATACAGCCGCACCCACGCTCGCAGGCTCCCCCGTTCACATCCCCTGCTGGCACAGCCAGCTTGACTTCTGCCTGCGCAAACATTTTCATTCCTGTAATTCCTCTCGCAGTTCAACGCTGGTGCCGGTCCCAGCTCGCACAGGAGGGAGTAATGGAAGCCCTCGGGCTGTTGCTGAAGGAGCTTGTTGCTGCATCCCTGGGCCTGGTACCTCCATTTCGGGTTAGGTACCCGCAACAGCAAGGACCCAGTGGCACAGAGGGACAATGGCTGGTGGCCCCGGCTTGTTCCCAGGCTGGTGTTTGACCTCAGCCATTCCAGATTTCCTCTCTGCTGCTGTTGGCCCAGCCAGCACAAGGAAAATGTGATTACTGGAGCAGGCAGTGCAGTAACCAAGGAAACCAAACAAACATCCTCTGCTCTGCCTGAGCAGGCCCAAACCCTCCGCTCCTCCGGGCTGGGGAGGAGGGAACGGAGCAAGCAGCATCCCCACCCTGTCTGGCAGGAGCGGGGGCGAGGACAGCAGGGGGGCTGGCTGTCAGCAATATATAGCAGCGTAGGACCCAAATGCGAGAGAGGCAGCGGGCCTGGTGAGATGTCCTGGAGGTCAATGTCACATCTTCCTGAGAGTCCTTCCAGGGCTCCTCTGCACCCTGTTTCTGGGGCATCCTTCAGCTAAACCTCCTCTGCACCCCGTTTCTGGGGCATCCTTCAGCTAAACCCCATCATCTGCAGGTGCCTGCCCAGGGAGGACGCGTTCTGCCTGCGGCACAGTGCGGGGACGCAGCGTGACTCAGGGCCAGTCACCACATGCTTTCTGGAAGAGGCTCTGCTCCTCTTCCAGCTGCTCAGTGCCTTCCTGCAGTGCCCCAGGCGGTGATCCTGGCTGCCCAAAGGGGTTTTTGCCTTGGTATGTCTGACCGAAGCACTGGGCGCCTGCTCTGGTGCAGAGGCTCGGCGTGCTGCACAGCGCCTGGGCTAACAGCTGCGGTGAAGGTTTCCTCACGAGGCTGACTGGCACTGACACCAATGCTGCTGGGGTAATGCAAAACCTCCCACCTCCCCTGTGCTATCTGCAAAAAAGAACGGAGCTAGGGACAAGGAGGGGGTGACTGGGACACTGATTATGGAGCTGGCTCCCTTCAGCAGCTGGAGCCAGCCCTGTCCTGTCCGTCCCAGGCAGAGCTCTGCCCCCCAGCCCAGCTGTGCCAAATCCACGGCAAACTGCTGCGGTTCACCACACCGAGGAGAGCCCATCAGGCTCCAGCCGTAGGGAAGCCAGGCTCGGGGCAGAGGCTGTGCTGGCTCCCAGATTCAGGGCGATGGACCGGCTCTCCGTGCAGCGTCTTGCCAAAAGGACCGCAGTGTGGAGGTAGGGAGCATGGTCTCTAAATCCTCCTTCAGTGCAAACACAAAATAAACCAAAATGCTAGCGGGCACTGCCCCGAGTGCCGTGAGTGTGGCTCATCTGTGCCATTAATGTTCTCACTGCCCATCTCTGCCCCGGTGTGTGACCGATACTCGGGGCAAGGGTGCTTGGGGAGAGTCAGGACGGGTCCTGGTGGCAGCATTCCTGTGGGTGCCTGGATTTCTCTTGCGGGAGAAATTAGCAGGACCTGTTTATGAACTTGTTTTCGAGCTCTTGCCGGGAAGTCGGGCACGAGCACTGAGATCCCATTATGTACGGAACGCCGGCAGCGGGAGACGGCAGCTGGGCTGTGCTCAGCCCTGCCTGACCCGTGACCGTGGTGAGAGTCAGGGACGGAGCCTTCCCCCCTCCCGGGGCTCCTCCGGGCCCGGGGGGAGCAAACAGCCCTGCTAGTGTAGCCGCTCCTCAGCAACCCTCGCTGGGGAAATAAAGGAGAGCGGCGCTCCCTGCCGCGGCCCTTCCCCATGTGACGGCCGGTCACACTCCCCGGCTGTCAGCCGTGGGGATTGTCTCATCCGGCTGGCATGTTCCCACCGCGGGACACGTTCGCACACACAATGCGGCCCCTGTGCACCGTGGGGGATCTGTCGGTACCTGCTGGTGGCCTGGCTTTTATTACTATTGTCATGGTTATTGCTACAGCCTGCTCAGCCAAGGGGCCAGAGGCTTATCTGCATTCAGAGCCAGGCTCTTCCCCGCTGGCAGGAC